TCGCAAGCGTGCCGGTGAACGGGCCATGGTAACCATGCATTCGTCGTCAATGAAGGCTGCATCAGTCGACGTCTGCATGGGGGGATCTGGAGAAGGACGTTGCTTGCCACGAATGCGGCGCGGTGCGTCAGCACCGCCACGCTGCGGAGACTCCGCAAAGAAAGCATCCCGCGAAGCATGAAAGCGCACAGCATCACCAGTCTCTTCCATCCACTGCCGCACGAGCATAAGCGGAATGTCGTAGGCAGAATTGAACATAGCAGCACCAACTTTGCACCCCTGGCGCCCACCAAGGCCGCATTGCACCACCGACTGCAGGTCACCAACGGAGAACCAGCACCCATCGTGCAAGTTGGCTAACATCGCAATCGTCGCATCATCAACCCCCCACTGTTGTAAAATAGGGCCATGCTTTTCCAGGTAGGTATATATGTGGTCTGCGGCGTGCTCGGACACGCCCATGGACAACAAGTACTGGATGCGGTCGGCTCGTTCACGGCCCACGCTGCATGGCCATCCAACGACAATTTCACGGCAGATCTTATCGAAGGCCTTGGAAAGGTCAATGAACAATATGAAGATGGACCGTCCAAGCAGCTCCGCTCTTGATACCAGCGATCTGATCACATGGTGGGCCATGTCGGCGCCTCGCCTGGGGACAGCGCCATACTGATGAAGAGAAATGCCGCGCTCGTAAGCTGGATCTACTCGATCCTTGATCTGGCCGACGTAAGACTTCGACAGGTGGTCAGCCAACAATAATCCACGATACTCGTCACAATCATCTTTAGGGCCCTTGTTTTTATGAATAGGCACGCATAGCCCACCTTGCCACTGCCATGGCCATTGACCCTGCTCGCCAATGCGATTCTGAAGTGCATCTTGGAGGATTGCCAAAGGGCCCTCGCCAGCTTTGAGTACTTCAGCCGGGATGCCATCATATCCCACGCCCTTGTTCGCAGGGAGCGCGAGATTGGCAGCCAACGTAGAGCACGGCGTGGTAGCAAAGCCGAGGATCGGGCCATCCACGCAGCGTTGCGCAGAAGGGGTCCTCGCAGAGCGCACCTCCAGTGACATTTTTGAAATGCTCCTGCCAGCGCAAGTCGCACTCCTGACGTGACGTAGCCAACTCGCCGTTCTTCAATCGCACGCTGCTGGAGGCCATCTTTTTGACTCCCTGGAAGCGGCGAACAACAGCAAAAGTCATGCGGCCGTCCCCGCAACGAGCTGCACTGTTGGCCTGCTGGGCCAAGCGCCACATGTAGCCTTCCCGGTCACCCTTGATGAGGATGCTGGTCACGGCGCGCAGTCGCAGAAGGGCGCTGGCGATGAGGGAGCAAGCACGTTCAAGTCGGAAGAACTGCTCACGTAACAGCTGGAGGTCGCCAACAGCGTCGCTGTCGTAACGTCGTCGGCGTCGCTGTCGTAACGTCGTCGGCGTCGCTGTCGTAACGTCGTCGGCGTCGCTGTCGTAGTGTCGCACAGTCGGCGTCGCTGTCGTAGCGGCGTCGGCGTCGGCAGCGGCGTCACAATGGCGTAAAGGCAAAGTTGTCGTAACGGCGCCGGCGTCGGCGTCGAGTCGGTGTAAAACTGTCGTAACGGCGTCGGAGGGCTCGTCAGGCGCCGTTGGGCTGTCGTCGGGAACCGTCGGGCTCCGTCGGACTCCGTCGGGCGGTCGTCCGGCACGTCGGGTTCCGTCGGGCGCCGTCGGGCGCCGTCGGGCTCCGTCGGGCTCCATCGGGCTCGTCGGGCTCTGTCGGGCTCCGTCTGCAAACGAGCTGTCGTCGGGCTCCGTCGGGCGGTCGTCCGGCACGTTGGATGCGACTGCCCATGCTTGGAAAGTCACGCCAATGAGGAAGGGATTCCTGTTGCACGCGGCCGCTGATAGTTGACGTCGCAGCGGTGCAATATATCGAACCAGGCTCCACGTTTGTTCACCTATCCATGGTTGGCGCGGGGTGCCCTCGAGTAGTTCCGAATGCAACTACAGCGCAATCCGAAAAATGTTTCTTCAGTGCACTGCAATGGTCAGAGATCGAAGCTTCAGGTGGGACTTGAAATTGCCACAACATATTTTGGAAGTGTTGAATACGGTAGGGGTCGTTCATGCGCCACTTGCAAATGCTCGGAGGGCGTTTCGGTATGGTTTCTTTGGCTTCGCCCGAGGAGGCAAGCAAAAACAGAGTAGCCTCAACAGCACGATGGTCAACCCAGTTTGAGAAAGTCAAATCAACGTCTTCTCGGACTGTACAGCTGGACACACCACGCCAAGATTGCTCGGAAGTGAGGATATAGTCGATCCGGTATTTCTTCCCAGTGTTTCCATGACGCCAGGTACGGCCAGCATCAAAGAACGAATTGACTGCGTACAGCTCGAACGTGTCCAAAAGGTGTCGCAACTCGGACCCGTTGGCGTTCTCGCTGTGGGCGTCGCAACCGCCGATGTCCTTTGAAGGCACACTCCCGATGCGGGCGCTGCCATCAATCATCACGATGGTGTGAAAGGTCGGGAACTTAGCACGTAATTCCGACAGCAGCTTGTTGACCTGGTCGAAGAAGGTCAGGCGTTGAGCCTCGCTGCTGCACTCTGTGGGCGCGTGCGCAGAGACGAGGATTGCAGCAGCACCGTTTTTGAATACCACTGCGGCCCACATCAGGCGAGCACTCACCACGTCCCACGCGCGGATGTCAGGGTGAAGCGCGCGTGCAATCCAAATTTGAACTCCCCATAGACCACGATCGCCCGCGGCACATAGCATTATATATTGAATACCCTCCTTACGCCCCAAGGAGGGAGAGCGTCCTTCTTGAATCCCAAGGATGCTGAAAAAATGAATGTGGAACTGAAGCTCTAGGAGCTGAATTTTGGACAACAGCATGGTATCGCCACCAATTTTCCCATAGGTGGTTTTCTCCTGGTGCGGTAGGAGCGTCGCCACGTTAGCCGTGACCACTCGGAGCATGCACGCGTCGCCGGTGGCTAACTCACGATGGGGGCCGCCGGAGTGACGTGAAAACCTGCCGGCACAGCGACCTCCTCCAGCTCGGCGTCGTTGTCCGCACCAGCAGGTAAGTTCGCAGCCGCGGCATGTGCAGCAGCTGCCTGCACTGCAACTGCAGCGGGAGAGACCCCGCCGTTGGCCGCCGCAGATACTGCAAGTAGGTCTTGCATTAGAGTGCGCATCTGCGCCGCTGCGCGCGAGACGATATCCTGCGGCACGGTCGGGAGCTCTTGAGGTCGGCCATGACGCGCGACAGCGCGCCCGTGAGGTTCGTCAGGCAGTCTTCGCCTCCGCCCTTTTTGGCGGCCACCTCGGCCTCGAGTTCGGCCAGCTCCTTGCGCTTCGTGGCAAGATCGGCATCGGCCTGAGCCAAGGCCTGTTGGGCAGCCGCCACCTGGCTGGCACACAGGGCCTGCCTCTTGGTCGTCCGATCGATGGCCGCCCTGGATTGAATGATACGCTTCTTGAGCATCTCTTTCTTCTCGGAAAGCTCCTGGCGGGCCTTCGCCAAATAGGGTAAGTCTGGAAGCGCTGCCAGAGCAGCCTCCACGTGCTTGATCTCCGCCTTGGGATCGTCGGGCTCGGACGTCGGCTCGGACGATGCACCCGTTGTATTCTGACCGTTCCCCGGGGTAGGCGGTGCAGGGGGGGCTGCAATACGCGTGATCATCGCGTATGTCTTGCGGATGCCACACCGGTTGCACTGCTTTGCTTTGTACTTGTTGTAGTTGGAGCAAGCAGAGCACAGCCACCATTGTTCTCCATTCCACCAATGCGCCTCGCACTGCTGTTGAGCCCAACCATCGCTTTGCGCTGGGCATGCCATCGTCCACCCACGACGCACGAGAGTGAGACAAGATGATATTGCTGCGCCTGTCGTGAGACCTGAGGAGGTACGACAAAGGAAAGCGTAGGCTTATGTTTTGGCTAGCTGAAAAGCTTGTTTGTTTGATTTGTTTTTTTTTTTTGATTGAATTGTTGTTTTTTTTTTTTTTTTGAAAAGCTGAGCCAAAATTGGAAACTACGGAGTAGTGGGTAGTGGAGTAAGCGTAATGAGTAGTGGGTACTGGTGTGGGGGACTAGGGTTAGGGTTCGAGGTTAGGAATTGGGGGTTATTTTAAAGTAAAGGGTGCGGATTAGCCGTCAGGGGTGGTAGGGGGTCGGGCTTCCGCGAGGCCCGGGGGGCGCCGTGCGAAAGGGGAGGGACTGACTGGCCCTCGTTCGAATTTTGGTGGCCCAAAAGGTCTCAGAGTGTGTGGGGGTCGGACCCCCCCCCTTGTGAAAGGGGGGGACGGGGGGGGGTCCCCGACGACGGATCGGGAAAGGGGTGGAGGGGGGGGGGTCCCTGACGACGGATCGGGAAAGGGGGGGAGGGGGGTTTACGTTTCGACGGATCGGGGGGAAAAGGGGGGGGGGAATCCCAACCGCCCCCCCCCCTGGGGGAGATCCAGCGGCGCACCCTCTTCGATTGCCACATGCGCTTTCTACAGGAGCCAGATATGTTGCGGGGTCTGAGCTTGTCGCCGCCTCCGCCTTCTCCTGCTGTTCCGTCTCCTCCCTCGCTTCCTACTCCCCCTGTCCTCCTTTTAGGGCCGCCCGTTGTTGCGCCTCCAATGCCAGAAAAATCACCCTGCCTTCCCTCCTCCTCCTCCCCTCCTCCTCCTCCTCCTCCTCCTCCTCCTCCTCCTCCTCCTCCTCCTCCCCCTCGTCCTCCTACTCATCGTTCTCCTCCTCGTCCTCCTCCTCCTCCTCCGTGTCCTCTCCTTCCTCTCCTATCCCCCGCTCCTCCACCTCATTTCCCTCTCTCCTCCTATCCCGTCTTCCTCCCACCCTCACCACTATGTCACTTTGTGCTCCTCTCTCTTTCTCCATCTCTCTCTCTCTCTCTCTCTCTCTCTCTCTTTCTCGTTTTCCCTCCCTCTCCCACGAACCACCTCCACGCCTCGCCCCCCTGCCAACCCCCCGCCCCTCGGCCCAACCCAGCCGCGCGATCGCCAGGCCGTCCTCCTGCGATTTAAGGACGCGACGCGCTCTCGCGGAGGAGGAAGAGGAGGATCCCAGAAGCAGGGACAGAGAGGAGAGGGAGGTACGGACCAAGTCGGGGGAGGGGTCGTACGCTATCAACTTCTGCGTGCGGGTGGTTTAGGACAAGTATCTCACGGATGCCACTCGCAGGATACTTCAGCCTGTGTGCTTCAGCGCGCGTGGATCATGGGAGAGGCTCTTACGGAGTATCAGTAGATCGGAGCAAGACAGGATGTGCACGCACAGGGGAGATGCATGGCAAAATCAGTGAGGACCGCGCTTCTGCAGAGCACGTGTTCAACCAGAAGGTTGACTTCGCTTTTACCGTGGAGTGGTCGGACAAGCCGGTGCCGCACGCTTCAGTTTCTCTTGACGATTGCTTGCCATGGATGCAACCAGGCAGAGGCGGGCGACGTGCGTTGATTCAGCAAACAAGCAAACAACGGGCAACGGGACGTGTGACAAGACGACAAGAACTTGGAAAGGGAATGAAAGAGCCAGCGAGCGGATCGCCTGCATTTGTTGAACAGGCCTGCCGCACGTTTGCATGTGGCATTGCATGTCGCTATCGCGTTTGGAGTCGCGACACTGTTCGGGAACAGTTCCAAATTGAGAATACGGCACGTAGTACACCCACCCAATGAAAGAAATGTGGCAGGCATTTGCGACGAAAATGGAGCCTTTATTGTTATCAGGTCTACCTTCTCTCATTCGCCTAGCAGACAGTGGGAAGTACACAATGTCGACGGAGGCAGTTTAAGGTAGCTGTTCGAAACGAGAAATCCGAGGCCAGCGCAAACAGCAGGACAGAAGTGATTCAACACGGCCGGCACGCGCAATGTGGCCCACAGACGGGGGCGTTTTTGCAATTGGAAGATGAGAGCGGCTACCGTTCGGAAGGACACGCTCCACAAGCGTGGCCTGTCTCCCTGAATTGTAAGTTCACTCCACAGTGATTATTTGGCTGGCTCGCTCGAGAATCAGTACCGCGGTGGTAAAACAGTTGAGTGGCGCGTAGAGCCAAAAGTGGAGCAGGGCAGTAGTGAAATGGCTGGCGCGTCGCAAAAAAGCCGCGACGCTTGCGCATTGGGGCCTGCCGAAGCAAAGTTTCGAAGATTACGAATTGAGGCGTTTGAATAATCAGGGCAGTGATTGCTGACTTATTTAAGTGCTTGAATAATCTTGGCTTCAGGGAGCGGTACAGCAACGGTCTGCCATGTTTTCTTGGCTAGTGGAACAAAACAATCCCGCTTGGATTTCCAATGTGCAACCCGCGTAGAGATGAAAAGGTGGGACGGATAACGTTTTGATTTCCCCTTCACGCAGCTGCACGTTGAAGTATAACCCGTTTCACATGCAATTCCCGTTTCGCGATATGTATGATAATCGTGCGGTTCAACCGCACTAGTTTTTCTGATGGATATTTCGCTCGATCTGTCCGTTCGCATATGTTTCCCGTGTTTACTGTGAAAGTATGGGAACTATTTGTTGCGAGCTGGCCAACGCGATCAACAACACACCTGACGCTTATCCGGCTAACGGACAGGCACGATCCATTGCTAGCGTACGTGCGTTCGTTGCCGACCAAGTGTCGCGTTCGACAAGTATCATATCCTGTCATTCCGTTAACAATACGTTTCTACGCATGCGCAGGTACATGTGTCAACATAGTTGTGCATGTGTGCATATGTCATGTGCATAGTTCCGAATGTTAGGTTATGATTTCGTGAACAGCCCCATCCGAAGAAACTCATCTTGACGACGGACTGTTACTTATGCCGTTGTGAGTACCGCATATGTGACTACTGGTTTGGCAAAGTTCCCTGTGGGGCCACGATACGTGTGAGGGGTGTGCCGAGTCGGGTGCGGGCCCGCCATGCAGACCTTGCCACTGGGGCTTTCGGTGGAGCCCCTTCATGGTGCCGCGAAACGTATGAGGGGTGTGCCGAATCGGGATCGAGGCCGCCATGCGGACCTTGCCGATGGGATCTTCAGTGGGGCTCCCTGTGGGGCCACGCCGAATCGGGTGCGGGGCCGCCATGCGGACCATGCCGTTGGAGCACTCGGTGGACTTCCTTACGGGGCCACGAAGCATGTGAGGGGTGTACCGATTCGGGCGCGGGGCCGCCATGCGGACCCTGCGGTTGGGGGTGTGAGGGGTGTACCGAATCGGGCGCGGGGCCGCCGTGCTGACCCTGCGGCTGGGGCCTTCAGCGGGGTTCCTTATAGGGCCACGAAACGTGTGAGAGGTGTGCCGTTGGGACTTTCGTGGAGCTCCACGTGGGGCCACGAAGCATGTAAGGGTTTTGCTGAGTCGGGTCCGGAGCCGCCAGGCGGACCTTGCCGCTGGGGCATTCCGGGAGACTCTTTATGGAGCCACGAAACGTGTGAGAGGTGTGCCGAATCGGGCGCGGGGCCGCCATGCGGACCTTCACGTTGAGGCTTTCGGTGGAGCCCCCTTTATGGGGCCACGAAACGTGTGAGGGGTGTGCCGAAATTGACACGCGGAGGGCAGAGATAGGAGTGGGAGGAGGGAGGAAACGGGAGGAAGGAGGCAGGAGGAGAATGCGGGGCATTGCCTGTTCAAAACGAGGACCAAACACCACAGCATGGTTGGGAAGAACACACGTTCCCATTTTCAACGACCGATGAAGTCGATGATGGTTCGAGCATACCCACCAGCTCATCCAAAAACGGGTACCAGTTGCAGACGCTTCATGTAACCCCACCAGCCCCAGAAACGATGCCCAGACGAGTTGCCCTGACCAGGGGTATGGGGGAGCACGCAGTGGAAAGGGTTGGGTAAGACACCATACCCCAAGAGAGGGAGGATGGAGGAGGAGGAGAAGGAGGAGGAGGGAGAAGGGGAGGAGGGAGAAGGGGAGAAGGGAGGAAGGAGGAGGGAGGAGGAAGGAGGAGGAACAGGCGGATGAGGAGGGGGAGGAGGAGTACGAGCAGAAAGGCAAGAAGCTTCTTGAATGCTTCTCGGAGTTTCTTCGGAATTATTCCAAGAGCTTCTTGGGGGGTTCTTGGCAGTCCCGGTGGCTTCTGGGGGCGTCTTGGGTGATTTTGGGGAGCATATAGGGGTTTCTTGGGGGTACATCGGGAGCCTCTTGGGGGCATCTTCGGGGCCGCTTGGGTTCTCCTGGCCACATCTCGGGGCCGTCTTGGGGCACCCTTGGAAGCTTCGAGGGCCATTTTGGGGCCATCTTGGAGGGGATCGATCAAAGGAGGGCCGTCTTACATCAGGGTCCCTTCCCCCGGAGGCCACACCAAAACCTTAGTAAAGTCAATGATGTTGGCCTTCTCGCCGAGGCCTCTTGGAGCGTCTTGGGTGGTCTGGGTGGCCTCTTGGGGAGATCAATAAAGGAGGAGAGTTCCTCAATTAAGCCCCCCGCGAGGAGGCCAAAATGTTGCCAAAGCCTTCGTATAATCAATGATGTCGATGTTGTCGACGAGGCCTTTTGGGGCGTCTCGGTTGCCTCTGGCAAGCCTCTTGGGGCCTTTTGAGCTCTCTTGGGGGCAGCTTGGGGGCTCCTTGAGGGCCTCTTGGGGCCTGCTGGGAGCATCTCGGGGCCCTCTTTGGACGCCCTTGGAGGGCCTCGGGGGCAGTTTTGGGACCATCTTGGAGGAGATCGATGTAGTGCATCAGGGTTCCCCACAGGATGCCAAAAGGTGACCAAAAGCTGTTTGTAAAATCAATGACTTCTCGCCGAGACCATCTTAAACGTTAAACGCTCTAACGCCTCGCGCGCCCCCCTCTCCAGGTCCAGGGGGGGACGGGGAGGGGTCAAGACACCTTCCCGCCCGCAAACTGCCCCTCTCACCCCCACCCGCCCTCCCAACACATGAGTAATACCGGGTCTCAGCATGGTCATCGGTCGTCTATGGGCAGCTATTGGGACCAATACAGCCCCCATGTGCGCGACAGGGCGAGGTGCCCTACGCGTGCCATGCGCCCCAGGTGCGCCACGCACCCTGGGGGCCCAAGCGTGCCAGGCACGCCTCGCGCGCCAGATGTGCCACGTGCTCCACATGCATCATGTGTGCCGCATGGTCCAGCCGAACCAGGTGCGCCACGTCCGGGGCAGTGCAAGGTGAATGTGTGCCAGGAACGCCCGCGCACGTGACAGCACCTGAGCTGCGTCGATACGCCCCGTGTGAAACGCAATACGCATTGTGCTTAAAACGTCCGTGTCAATGCGTCGCGCGTTGGCTTTGAATATTGGCCCAGGTTTTGACGAACGTATCTCATAACCACGTTTCAGTCGACGTGCAAATCTCCATATCAAAAATGCTACGCGTTGCGTGTTCCGTATCGGGGTAGCGAGGGACAGCACACATCGGGAAACAGATCGGCCCCCACCATCCTTTTCGAAAACAAATGCAAAATCACACAAAAAATCCCCACCAGTTGTTTCCCTCCCCCTGGTGCGCAATTCGCTCGTAGCCCGTTGCTGCGACCTTGACGGCGTCTGGTTCCTCTGGTGCGCTCGCGATCAAAAAAGTATCCCAACCCATCCAGAAACGATGCCCAGGGGAGTTGTGATGATCACGGGAGCGGGGGAGCATGCAGAAGAACTAAGGGCGGGGGAAATTGTCTTATACCTCAAGAGGGGGAGGATGGAGGAGGAATCGTCGTCGTCGTCGGAGGAGGAGGAGGAAGAGAAGGAGGAGGAGAATGAGGAGAATGAGGAGAACGAGGAGGAGGAGATCGAGAAGGGCGAGGACGGTGACGAGAAGGATGAGAGGGAGGAGAAGGAGGAGAAGGAGGAGAAAGAGGATGAGGGGAGGAGGAGGAGGCGGGGGAGGAGGGAGGAGGAGGAAGAGGTGGATGAGGAAGAGGAGGACGGCGAACCGAAGAGCCAGAAGCTTCTTGAATGCCTTTCGGAGATCCTCTTGAGGCTTCTTGGGGGTCTCTTCAGAGCCTCTTGGAGGCCTTTTGGGCGCCTCTTGGGGCCGTCTGGGCGCCTCCTGGGGTCCTCTTGGGGCGCTCTTGCGTGCTTGAGGCGCGTTTTGGGGGGCATCTTGGAGGACATCGATCAAAAAAGAGAGGAGCTTTAATTAGCCCCGCCCCTCGGGAGCCCCAAAAATCGCCTTTTTGGGTGCTCTTGGAGCGCTCTTGGGCGTTCTTGGGGCCGTCTTGTAGCTCTTTTCGGCCTCTCTTGGAGCCCGCTTGGGCCATGTTCGGGCCATCTTGAAGCCTCGGATGGCCATCGGAAGCCGAAAGTCGAGAAAGCAAAAAGCACTGATCGTCCTTAGCGTTTGGACAGATGTTGGCATCTTCGGGGCTTCCTCGGAGGTCTCGGAGGTTTCTTGGAGCGTTCTTGGGCCTCTTGGGGCATAT